CTCAAAGGGACACCCTGTAAGCCAGGGTAGAAATGAGTTTCAGAGACTCACTTACGGAGTAAAAAGCCCAGTCTTTCTCCCTTAGAGTGGGCTGGTGGTTACAAGCTGCTAACTGACCGCTTGCACAACCACTATGCAACCAGAACTCCTGTTTCACACACACACACACACACACACACACACACACACACACACATTCACTCACTCAACTAGTTCGCCTTTTGAGTAGTATTCTAACTTGTTTCTAGAATGGTATTCTCTGACTTTATGTTGGTTATATTTTGTAAATTTAAGGTTTCTTAAGCCAATAATGGGAATCTATGGTAGTCTGAAAAAAATAAACAAAACAAACAGCCATTGTGCTTTACTTTTACGCTACAAACATTTGTTTTCTTCCTTTTCTACAATAAACATAATTTTAGTAATAATGAAAATAATGCATACTTTCTCTAGTGTAGGAGATCTGTAGACAATGGGATAGGCTCCAGGGGATTGTTAACCCTGGAATTTTTGGTAGAATTTTATGTATGTTGGGGATTGAAGGTTTTATCAGAGTATCAGAAATAGTTAGGTAGCACTGCTAGTGAATGTTTTGGGTTTACAGAACAAATCTTGGTAGACAAGCAAATATGTGACAAATGGTACTGTAACTCAGATGTTTGTCCTAAACTAGTGTATTCTAATTGACTATTAGATGAGAACAAACCACAGCTTAACTATTCCTCTTTGAGGAATTCTATACTGTCAGGTCCTAGGCGCAAGCATTCATTGGATTTGCAAACAAAGTAGTTGTGTTTTGCTACTGAGTGATTGCTGTGTATCACTCACTGTACCAAGTGTTTTTGCACATTATCTCAGTTAGTTTTTGCAACAGCTGTCTTTCATAGATTGGATCAGTATCCTCAGTACAGAGAAAGAACTGGAAAGTTTAGAATGTTTACTTACTTGCTCGGGTCACATGCCCTCTTCTAAGTAGTGGAGCTAAAATTTGAACCCAGCTTTCTAACAGGATCCTGGGTTCTTGGTCTGTTTGCTGGTATGCACATAAATAAAACTTAAGAAAACTTAAAGGATAAGGAAAAGCAGACTTTGATAGTGAATGAAAATGTGGATACATAAATTTGATTTGTGGTATTACAAAACCACTCTTCAAAGCACTTTATAAGAAATAGAGCTTACATTTTTATTGCTTAAACATCTAAATTGAATATTGCAAAATAACTTTAATTGAACATTAGAAAATAACTTCTGTTCTACATTG